TAAACTTTTTTAGTTAACCAGCTGATCATTTAGCCATGGTTTTGTTTTGTTTTTGGGATTGGTTTCATTTGTTTATTTCACTGTTAATAAAATGTAATTTTAATTGATTTAGAGTAATGAAATTCATAATTTTGAAGATTTATTGTTTTGTTTGATTGAATTTCCAAATTTTATTTAAAAAAAAAGTAAAATAGATTGACACAATTAAACATCAAAATAATTTTATTTATTTTTAAAAATTATTCTAGGTTTTAAAAAATCATTTGAACATAATGTGTGTGTTTTTAGAGAGGAAGAGATAAAATTGTGTGAATGTGTGGATGAAGGAGCTTTGATAAAGTGGGGGACCTAATTGAGTAGGAGTAGAGGCTACATATTGTCCTTTTCGCCAAAGTCCTACCCTATGGTTGGACTGGAGAAGTTATTTGATGGCCCTTGACATAATTAGGTAGTAATTTTGTGATCAATGAAAGGGTGGCTCACAATTTTATTTTGAGCTTAGCCATTAATAGAAGGATATGAAAATTGATGATAGGTTGAAAGTGGGGATAAATAATGTGATTGAAGCACTTAATACTTCTCTCTTTGACTGACTCTATTATTTGCTGCATTTAAAGTATATGGAGTATACTATTAGAATTTACTACTATAATCATCCTTGAAATTTTGTTCCACAACATCAAGATGCTTCCTCAAGTTGCCATGGCAAGCTCTAATTTGGCCAGTCGAGTCTCCATGGCTGCAACAACGTCATACCCATCTCGTGACTTATCCTTCATTGCTTTGCTAGGATTGTCCCTTCCACGAATTTCCTCGGTCACTGTTGTCTCATCTACACCAGGAGACATGTTGCCTTTTATTCTCTTGTCACAAACCTGCTCTGATACCACGTGTCAAGGCCTTGGTTATGTCCAAGTACTCTGAGCAACACTTAGATACTCACAAGCCTTACTAGTGAGACTAAGTCAGCCTGACTCACAAGTTTGCAAGAAAGAGAAGTAAAAAAATAGAGAGTTTGAGAGAATGCAATTGTATTCACTTTAAGAGAATTTGTACAACTCTTGAATTATTGATTAGAGCGAATGAACCCCTATCCTATTTATAGGCATATTAGGCCTTCTCTAGAATATTCCAAAACATACAAAAAAGGAACTATGAAGAAGCTTCTCATAAAAGCTTTCCTTATCTTACAAGAGGGTTGTAGAATCCTTCCTAAAAATATATATACAAACGTCTACCTTATTCCAAAAGTATACACAAGGGTCATTTGCCACCTCCAATTTCTCTAGGAGGTTCTAGAAGCTTCTATTGCTTCAATTCCTCCAATCTTCATTTAGATACTCTAGAACCTATTGTAGATCCTTCCATATACGTTATAGAATTATGTACCATATTCCTTCATTCTCTCAAGTCTTCCAGCAGCTTTCGGAATATTCTATTAGTCTTCCTTCCTTGAGACTTTCTCTTAGTCGGTAATTATGCCTAGGTAATCTAGCAGGACGTGATACATCATTGGCTTAGAGACGATGATCCAAGACTTAGGACTGGGTCCAAAGTCGGTTCAAATTTTACTTCTTGCGATCTACTCTAGGCTTCATACTACATGGGTATTTGCACCCAAATTGTAATTCAGTACGTCCAATTAAATTTTAAAATTTTAATTCATATTATACGTTAATGTAAATTTACTAATAAGGACAATACACAATAAATCCTAAAATAAAATATTATTATTTTCTCATAGTTTACCCTAATCACTAATACCTATTTTTCATATTCACGTCTCTTCATCTTTCTTTTCTAAGTTTCAATTATTTTCTCTTTATCTTCGTCTTCACTCCAAAACTCCAATCCACCTTATCAAAACTCACCATTATCATCAATATCATTATTTCTTATTGTGTTGCTATTTGCAAATAGAAGAAAAATTTGAACAAAATAAAACAATGGATGAAAATAATAATTAAAAGTATTTTTTGAAGCAATCTGTCAAAGAGGAGGTAAGTATTCACATGAATATCAAAGTATAATTCTTGATTGCTGAGTGTTTTTAAGTAAAAACACATTTGTTTTACGTCAACACTGCTTGGCCTTTCAGTGCCGAGCAAAGGCAACATGTTCAACATACCAGGGCCAAACAACTTCAATGAATATCAGAAATTGAAATCAACTATTGCAATTTTGAAAAGCCTACAACCACTATCCCAAACATGAGAAATTTACCTACTTATGGGGATGAAACAATGCCCTTCTTCTTCTTCTTCTTCTTCTTTTTCATTATTTGCCAATGACGAGAGTGAGAGAGTGCAGTGACTAAGAAAAGAGGAAGAGAGGAGGAGAGCAAGAGAGGGAGGGAGTATTTTTCGAATTGATTTATATATTATTTGGGTGTACCACAAATTCTGATTTTATCTTCAAAGGTAATTTGTAAAAAAATGTAAGGTGTATTAAGAGTAAATTATAATGCTAAATAATTTAATAGAGAATACTAAGAAATTGGACATACTAAATAATTTTTTAGATGCAAATAGAATTTTAGTGATTCTATATGCACCCAAATAGTAACTTAGTACACCCAATTAAAATTTTAAAATTTTAGTTCCTATTATACCCTAATGTAAATTTACTAATAAGGACAATACACATTAAATCTTAAAGTAAAATATTTATATTTTTTTATAGTACATCCTAAGCACTTATATATGTTTTTCATATTCAAGTCTCTTCATTTTTTTTCTCTATGTTTCAATTATTTTCTCTTCATTTTTTTTTTCTCACTCCAAAACTCCAATCCACTCCACCAAAACTCACCACTATCATATCATTATTTGTTATTGTATTATTATTTACAAATAGAAGAAAATTTGAACAGCCCAAATCATAAACATCGTACAAAAGATTAAAATTCATAACTTCCAATACTAAATCTATCGCTTTAGCTTTGTTCAATAGGTATTTGAACATATATGCAATGTGCGAGTGTGTGCACACTCAAAGGTATTGTGGATTTGAACTAGAGATTGAAATAAATAAAGTAGATAAATAAATCGAACTTCTAGTAAAACAAATGAGTTTGAGAAGGTACCTTTAGTGATGAATTAGGGTTGTTGTAAGTAGTCGATTGATTGAAAGGGTGTTCGTGCAAAAAATATAAAAATTATATTTTTTGACTAAAATACAAGTTTTGGCTAAATCAAGAGGTTTTTTTGATTTACGGGTGTGCCAAGATAACAGTACTTAAATTGTGAAAATACTTTTCAAAAAAATACGACTTCTAAAAAACAGGAGGTTGTATAAGGCTCAAAAAGGGATAAAAAAAAAACCTCCTTGTCCTTGTTTTGCCTCAATTAAGATGACTTAAAATCTCCATGGAGTTTTTAATGTCAAAAGGAGAGGTAAATAAAGGGAAATGAACACCAAAATATATATTTTTATAAATTCAACAGATTGAAAATTACAAAAACATAAGAACAAATTTAAAAATATGAAATTGAGTTCAAAATGGATTTAAACACAATTTAAGTCTCAACACAATGCCTATGAAGGCCAAAAACAACTAATTTGACACGAATGTTATGATCTAAGGCTAAAATCTACGGCAAAATTGCCTTTCAAGTGTACTCCTAAGTTGAACTAGGGCTAAACTAAGGATAATAACACTGGGTTATGTACTAAGTGGTGTTGAATGGCTGATTGATTAGGGTTTGTTCCATCTTCATTTGTTGTATTTATAGTTGTTGGAGCCTCTTGAAAATCTGTAACCACTTCGGTTAGTGGGGTGCTAAACCTCCTCCTGAAATAACACATGTCCCACTCTGTTTCTCCTCTTTAAGGTGTTGGTTATGTACTTCTCAAGACTTCGGTTTGACTGTAATTGCCTCATAATCTGAGCCGTTGGGTGGAAGGGTTGGGTCTTGGATGAATGAAAAATGTCCCTCATTGGTTCAAATTGTAGCCGTTGGATCCTTTGGATAATGGATATGGTGGCCATTAGATTTTGGCCAAGTGTCTCACCTGTTAAATTCATCAATATCCATTAATAGAGAGAAAGGGGCCAATGTGATCTTGTCTCCCATTGATCTTATTACCATCAAAACCATGATTACAGTCCTAAATTTGCCACCAAACAATTTTGCTAAAGTCACCCATCTTTAATCACCACCTGCACACGACACGCTCCTATTGGCTAGTCATTTTCAATACATACAAAGGGTTTTTTGAGGTGGTGTAATTTAGAATTTTTGATTTGTTTATTATTTATGTGTCTCATAAATTATGAGTTTATTTTAAAGGGTAATTTGTATAATATATATATATATATATATATATGGTATATTGAACGTAAATTATAACCCTAAAAAATTTAGTAGAAATTACTAAGAAATTGGACATAGTGAATAATATTTTGAGTGCAAATTGAATCTCCCATACAATCTCCATATTTTATACATACAAAACAAAACGGCTATGCTTAATTTGTATTTGTGAAATAATTTTGAAAAATAATTTTCTAGAAAGAGTTTATAAAATTTGAAAATTTGTGTGGTGGTATGTTTCAAAATTGGTTTTGGACTTTGGGGTGATTTATTTATTTATTGCAATTAAATAGATAGGTGTAATAAAAAAAGTGATTGATTAATGTGTACGATTTAAGAGAATGAGAGACGAGAGAGACAAAATAATTGATTAATATATAGTAGAGAGAAAAATAATTTTAAATTTTATTTTCAAAAAATTTCAACCAAACAAATTTTTAAATTTTATTTTCAAAATTGTCCCCGAGACAAACCAAACAAGTCCAACCCCTCTGTCTCTTCTGGGCTTATCATTTGCTTCATCTCCAGGCCCAGCTATGGGGGAAGTCAAGAAAGGGTTGTGAGTTGGGCCTCCAAATATTGGGTCAAAATAGGGCCCCAAATTTCTTAGTCCATTATAGAGATAGAGTGGGTCAAACTTGAAACAAAAAATAAAATAAAATAAAATAAATAATAATAATAATAATATTGAATTCATCAACCCTAGAGAAGCGGAAGGGGGCAAGGAAACTCTCGCTCGCATCCTCCATATCCACTACGAGAGAAGGGGTTTCTTGGGCTCATCTCTCTCTCAAAAGGGTGTCGCTGGTTTTGGGCTGAATTCTCACTCTCTCTCCGCAGAATTCTGGTGAACGGAGGACACAAATCCGGTGAGTACTTCGACCGACGACCTCTGCTGCTGCTCTGTTTTGTTGGTAACTTTTCTCTTTCTCTCCCCCTTATCTTCCTCTTCTGCTGCGGTGGCGAAGATGGTCTCTGTTTCTCTCCCCCTTCTCTGCCTCTTCGCTTTTTCTTCTTTTGTTTGGGTTTTTTTTTTCTTCTATCGGAGAGAGTCCATTGATTTCTGGTGTGAGTAGAGCTTTCTCTTCTTCTTTGTTTGTTTATGATGAAATTTTATTTTCTGGGTAATTCTTAGTTTAGTTTTTTACAATTTGGGTTCGAGTTATCTTGGCTTTTCATTGTGAATATATATAAATTTATCTCTCTGTTTGCTGTAAATGCTCGTTTGATTTAAATCTTTCCTGAAGTTTATTGTTTCTGTTGAGCTAATCAGTTCTCATAGCAATGCTTAATGCTGGGCAGTGGTTGTTGATTTGTTCCTTGGGAATGATGAGGCCAGTTGCAGCTGAAACAAACAAAAATTATGCTTGAATTCTTCAACAGATTTGTCCCTGCAATGGGACAAAACTAAATGTTAGAACAGAAATTCACAATTGAGTGCTATCTTATTACAATCAATTGAATAATATTGGAAATGACTTCCGTAATTAGTTTATGTGATTCTTGGCTTAATTATTGTATTTCGAATATTATTCATCAGAGCTAGTGACCTTTATCATCCTAATTGTTGCTCTGTTTGGTTGATGAGAAATGGAAAGAATAATATTTTGTGATTGATGTTTGAAAATTCTATTATTTTGTTGAATTTATTTTTAATTTTTCATTTTTACATTTATATTTTAATATATGTATTAATATATTTATGATGTAATTATGATGTCACGGTTCGACCGCTTTGACCCGGCGGTTGAACCCGTGACCCGTTCATCCGGTCCTTTTCCGGTTCGCTCACCGGTCCGGTTTTCAAAACATTGGTTTGAGTGGGTATTACAGAAGAATGAAACTGATTATTGGTTATTTTATGTCACCGAGCACTTTGAATAATGTTGTTTGCTTTTCAAATACAAGTGATATTTTTTCCGATTTTGTTTGTTTGGGTTTAGTTAAGAATCCTTGATATGTTATTTATGTATGCATATATTATGTATTTAGTCGTGTATGTTTTCAATCCCTCCCATAGTGGGTATGCAAGTAGAACAGCTTTTATTAGAACTCATACTTTTTGAGATTATAAAAAGTCCAGGGTCCTGATTTTTTTCTTTTTTCATTAGTGTCTTCTTATTCTTGTTCTTATTTTTCTCTTGTATGCTTTGGTTAACAGCCATGGCCGAGGAAGCAGGTATGTTCATGGTCCATCAAACCGTTGGTAGTGTACTATGTTGCAAGTGTGGTATTCCAATGGCACCGAATGCTGCCAATATGTGCGTGAAGTGCTTGCGTTCTGAAGTTGACATCACAGAAGGTTTACAGAAGCATGTTATTATCATACATTGCCCCGAGTGTGATACCTACTTGCAGCCACCGAGAACATGGATTAAAGCCCAACTAGAATCAAAGGAGCTCTTGACATTCTGTGTGAAAAGATTGAAGAACTTGAATACAGTACGGTTGGTACATGCTGAATTTATTTGGACTGAACCTCACTCCAAGAGGATTAAAGTCAAGCTGAGAGTTCAGAAGGAGGTCCTCAATGGAGCGATACTGGAACAATCTTATACTGTTGAGTATGTTGTGCAAGAACAAATGTGTGAGTCTTGTTCTCGGGTTCAGGCTAACCCTGACCAGTGGGTGGCTGCTGTGCAACTGCGGCAGCATGTTTCACACAGGAGAACTTTCTTCTTTTTGGAGCAGCTCATTCTTAAGCATGATGCTGCTGTCCGAGCCATAAGAATTAAGCAGATGGATCAGGGAATTGATTTCTTTTTTGGAAATCGCAGTCATGCTGTGAAGTTTGTGGAGTTTGTGGGCAAAGTTGCTCCAATTAAGAGTCGTCACGATAAACAACTTGTGTCTCATGATTCGAAGAGCAATAATTACAATTATAAGTACACTTTCTCTGTTGAAATCTGCCCAATTTGCCGCGAGGATCTGATCTGTCTCCCATCGAAAGTTGCTGTTAGTTTGGGAAATCTTGGTCCGCTTGTGATTTGTACGAAAATCAGCAACAACATTGCTTTACTGGACCCTTTTACCCTGAGGCACTGTTTTTTGGATGCTGATCAGTATTGGCGATCATCCTTCAAGTCCCTACTTTCTAGTAGGCAGCTTGTGGAATATATTGTATTGGATGTGGAGACTATTTCTTCTGAAGTTAATGTTGGTGGATCTAAGTATGTTTTGGCTGATGCCCAAGTTGCTCGTGTATCGGATTTTGGGAAAAATGATACAATCTTCTCTGTGAGAACACATTTGGGCCATCTTTTAAACCCTGGGGATTATGCTCTTGGTTATGACTTGTATCGAGCTAATAGTAACGATATTGAATTGGACAAGTATAAAGGTCTTGTCATCCCAGATGTTATTTTGATGAAAAAGAGCTATGAAGAGAAGCGCCAGAAGAAGCGTGGGAAGCCTCGTGCGTGGAAGCTTAAATCTCTTAACATGGAAGTTGATGATACTACTAGAGGTAGAGTTGATGAGGAGAAGATGAATTCAGAGTATGAACAATTCTTGAGAGATTTGGAAGAGAATCCTGATATGAGGTTTAATATGTCTATATATCGTAATAAAGAGTACCAACCATCGGAAATGGCTTCAGTGACGGATGGGGAGGATCTGCCTTCTGTGCCTTTAGAAGAGTTGCTTGCTGATCTTGATTTGAGTGATGAAGAAGATGGGGAAGATAGCATGAGGGAATGAACTGAAGTTTGTGGTGGTTTGAGTTGCTTCTTAGCCTTATCACAGGTGTATGTCGGTAAGATATTTCTGAGCTCCATTTTTAATGTGGCACTCATTTATTTTAAGGGTTACATGAAATTATAAGAATTTTCTTAAAAGAGTTCAGTATTGGATGCATAGCTTATTGGCATTAATTTTTAATGGTCTTTTTCTCAGGTTACTTGTGACAGTAGACTGAAATGCTCATGGTACAAGGCTTCAGCACATCAATGTTTAGTAGATGTCGCATTGAAGTCATCTTGGAGATATGAAAGAAGTTGTTAAGAGTTTAAATGGTGGAATTCTCAGGGTTTTGGTTTGAAATCTTCATGGCTGGTCTTGAGTTTGATTTTGTTTTTGTTTTATTTTTTTTCCAAGGACTGGTTTGATTGTTTTCATGTTTTCTTCCTAATCATTTTATGGTTTTTTTAATACATGTTCCCAAATGGTCTCTCTACACACTATTGCTGGTAGTAGTCTTTTGGATTCATTCTATTCTAGTCCGCTCATTTGATTTGAGACAATTGTTTGGTTGAGGAATTTGGGGAGGGATTTGAAAAGGAAAAATGAAAAGGTATATGAAATTAAGTAAAGTGTAAGCATATTTTATTCACATTTTATCTTTTTTATTTTTATTTTTCTTTCCAAATTCTTTCTCAAAGTCCTCAATCAAACACAACATTAGTTTTATGTAAGTTTCAAGTAGGTAAAACTAATAAGATGATGAGAAGTTTTATGGAAGTTTCAAGTAGGTAAACTAATGAGATGAGGAGAAAATAGATTCCAACTTAGCAGGTGTTAACATCTGTGTAACTGTTGTTGACAGTTTGCTCTGTTGCTAACATATATGGATCGAGAAAGGCGGCATTTAAAATCTTTTTAGGATGAAAGTAAAACTAAAATCCCACGCGTCAAAACTATTTCAGAACATGGTCAAGGAAATTAAAATCCCATGTTTTAGGTATGTAACATGGTCAAGGAAACTATTTCAATTTTTAAGAAAATCATCTCGTCTTTCAGGGCCAAAACCCTTTTTTTAAGCATACAAATGAGGGGAAAATCAGTAATTTAACACCTTTTTTTTTTTAGATATTAGTAATTTAACACTTTAAAAACTAATTTGGAGTATCATGCACAGCTTTATTAGCCTCTTGTTAGATCATTTCTTATTATTGGCAAGTGAGTGGCTCAGCCAAGCAGAGGCAATCTGTCAAACAAAAAATAAACAGCAACATTAGCAACATGAAAATAAAAAACAAAATGGGACAATGCCTTACAAAGGATGAGTCTCATATTATATTATGTGGTCCATTTCTTATGAGACATCTGTATTTAGGCCTAGTTTGGAAAGACTAAATAAGTGCACTTTTTGACTTTTTTTGTATTATGTATAGAAAAAGTAGAGAGGAGATGTTGATTGATGTGACCCAAAAAAGATAAAAAGATGAAATAAGTGCACTTTTTCCTTTGTAACCAAACTTGGCCTTAGTATTATGTGCACTTAAACTTGTTGAAAAATGAAAGAGAGTCTAAAACAAGGAAGGGTTAGACATATTTGAAGCATCGCATAATGGTGACCAGCAGAATTAACAACTTGGTAGCTGATAAAAATGAGAACAATATTAAAGAAAAAGTGATGCAATTAAAACAGGCGTTTTCCAACCATATGCATCTTGTAATACATTTTTATGGTATATGTTACATATTTTTATGATAAATATTACATAAATGATGTCACATATTGTTTTGATAATGTTATGCATTTTTTGTAGTGATATTACGCATTTTTTTATCTAAATATTTTCTAATTACAAAATGTGTAATATTACAATAAAAATTATAAAGATTTGTATGAGTTACAGTCACAGAAATACCTTCTCAAAAAATGGAGTAAAAACTCGATGAAAAGTTCTCTGAGCTTAGAAGACGCTATAAAAGCAACACCATATTTTTTTTGCAAATTGGATCTCCACAATAGTGACAACCAAGTAATTTCTGATATTCAAAGCCACAACTTGGTATGTTAACCTCTGCAATTAGATTTTATGACATGATTTAAAATTCAAATTCAAATAAACAACAAAGTGAATTATGGTCCAACACTTCTTGAGACCATATCATGGTTTCTCTTAATTTCTACAATTTACAAAGTGAATTTTATATCTATATGTGTGAGGATGAAGTTGGCATTGTGAGTGAATCGGGGCTCCATGATTGATATGGGCAATCCAAGAACTCGAACCTGCAAGACAAAGAATACTGCAAGTGCTACCTGGCCGAGATTGGCCAAAAAAAGCCCTGCAATGCTAAAGTCATGAATCTGAGAAGGAATGATGAGCTAAGAACGTAAAGAGAGTACAAGTGCAAAGAAAATGAATTGTCCTCCAAAGGAAGATGAAGATTAACTTGTATTGCCTTTCTCTCCAAGGGGCACATGGAATTGCTACCTCACATGACTTCATGCTCAGACCATCACACCCCCGAGTAGGGGGACCGTAAATTTTGTTAGGCACAAAAACCATTTGAGCAATTCGTTTGCCTTCATGTGGTGCAATATTTTTCCTTTATGTTGTGTGTGGTTGGAAAATTTCAGTAGAGATTTGAAAAGAGAAATGAAAAAAGTAGGTGAAATGTGAATAAAACATACCTATATTTCACCTAGTTTCACACACTTTTTCCCTTTTCCTTTTCAAATCCCCCAGCCAAACACAGCATTACTATTTTATCCAACACCTGGGCTAGTGGTGATGTGTATCCTATGTAGTGAGGTAATTTTGTAAATGAGGTAAGCAGTGATGTAAATGGATATGTTTGTACACTACGCAGTATGCACTCAACTCTGTTAATCACTTTTCCTAATTTCCTAACTCTTGACTTTCTTTTTTCTCTCTCTTCCCTAACTCACTTAAATATTAGTTAACATTAGTAAAAGCTCATTTCCTATATGTTTAGTTGTAATTTGGTAAAACCCAAGGCAAAAGACTCTAAGGCACCTTGCCCGATTGGCCTTCCCTCTTGGGTGTATGACCTGGAGTTGCTTCAGCTCAGTCCCCTTGCTTACTAGCTAAGCCTAGTCGGAATAACAAACTGAAGCTGCTAGACCTAATAGTTGTTCAGCATATTGAGTGTTGATTTAGCCCTTGCGTAGTCTGGCCCAAGTCCTGGTCCATCATCTAATGTCTCAGTCTCGTTAACAAAGTCTACCTTGGACCCATGATGTTCAACCCACAGCACTCCTCAACCCAAGTTCACAAAGTAATCCAGGGCGCTCGACCCATGACCTTGTTTGGCCCGAGTTAGTAGAGCTTTTTGGGCTAGGTCCATATAAGGAGATCAGCCCACTCCAAGCCTTGCCATGTCATATTGACCCTCTTCATTGGTCCCCTAACTTCCACTTATATACTTGGTAAAGGCGAAGCTAACTCCAAGGGTGAGCTCTTCAAAATTTCATCACTTGGTCAAATTGCGCAACAATAAAATGAATGACTAAAACTTGCTCAATTGAAGGGGAAGTGAGAAAATAACAGGGAAAAGATCAAGAAATGGAAAAATGAGAGGGGAAGAAGAGACTGAAGAAGAAGAGAGTGATGGTGAGCCGACACGAGAAGCAAAATAGAGTGGTTTTGGTTTCAGTCACAAAATAAAAGAACATTCAACCACATTTCCATTCAGGCAGAGCCGTTTTGCCATCCATTAGTGGTGTTACCAATCCATCAGTAGTCGTGTATGATTGAGATTTGGTTCTGTTTTGTGAATTTATAAAATACAGTCAAGTGGTAATAGACAGTTACAGCACCTCAAAGGTCGGATATACACTTTGAAACAAGGTGCTGTCTAACAAAACTTGGATATGGAGAAAATCTCACTTCACTGTTGCACCAGTGGTGCTTTAAATTTTACACTGCTAAAATCTCTAACTTGCTCTGTAACATGAAATACGAAACTCAAGGGAACATTTTAAAGAGTAAAACATCCAATAGTAGGTACACAGATGCAAGCATCAAGTAAATCTATAGAGCATTTTACTTGTATTGAAAGAATAATCAAGTTGAGATACACATTTTATCCCCATTATCAGTATCATACAAAACAAAGTATGTGAGATCAAACTTATTCAAAATGGTATGATCATCGAGTAAAGATTGTACAGCTTACACTTCAAAAAAAAAAATAAACAAAAATGAAAACAATATAATTTGCATTTGTCAAGTCATATGTTCGGTATGATGAACCGATCAAAGAATATCTTCTGAATTGTTTTAATATAGTTGGTTTTCACTTGCTATCATTTAAATTACCCACAAGGCACTTCTCCAACAAGGCTTCAGCATTCACCCAAGCATGGTATTTATCTAAATAACATATTAAGAATACAACTATGGGAATGTTGATCATTTACATTATTTAAATAGAAAACTGACAACTGGCATCTAACTTTGCAAATTGAAGCAACAGTTCCCACGTATTGAGAATATAATATAAATAATAAAATTGCCCCTCTCTCTAACAGCTTTTAGACGAGTTGGTGATCAATAATTTAATACCAAGCGCCTCTAATAAAAACACAAGACTAATATGGATAGTAACCGACAAGGTTAGTTTAGCTGGCCAGAGAGCCCTTGCACCTCACCATGAGGTCCAGAATTCGACTCTCACCCATTTGTGTGTGGGTCTTTCTCCCACTTCGGGAGTACCAATAATGATTTATACACCCATCAGGAAAGATTTCGAATTACGATTTGTGAAATTGCTTCTTAAACACACACAACCCATTTAACATAATGAGGAAGAATCTTTGAGGCCAAAAATTATTTAATGTTTACATTTTTCTCCATTCAAATAACCTACATGGAATTTTTTGGGTTCTTATATTGACACATAGAATAAGGTTTTATAGAGTTTTGATTGCAAAAAATTCTAACCTCCCCAAATGAAACTCAACAGAAGTAACAGATTATTAGAGTTTATTTAATAGGGCCTAAGATATGATAAAATACATGCCAATATTGAACCTATATGTATTTGGAATGTTTGCAACAAATGTCAAAGGATACTGAATAAAGATGTGCAATCTTTTCCAACTGCCTTCATCAGCATATCAACACCTGATTGTCAAGCAAATATTAATGCAGGCATATAATTTATACCCATTGTGGCATACAAAAAGGATAAACATAAATAAACAATTTCCAGAATTTAAGCAATCCATAGAAGTACAGAATTTGCTTCACTAATTAATTGAAATTTGAGCAAACTAAAATTTTATGTACCTCCTGGATGAAATTTCATATATGGAGCTATATTGTACACACGACCTTTAAGAACAGTCCACATGGCGCCTTCTGTTTGGTGTTGTTTAACTTCATTCAAGGCAATAAGCCTCCTATTTGACTGTCCCTTCAAACCTTAAAAAAAAAAATACAAAACCCTGAGAAATATCAGCAATTGTTTCTTCAACTCCAAAATCGAAATCTCACTTAATGAATGCATATTACATAATATGTATGCTCTAACCAGTTGACCTCTTTCTATTGACTTATCTCAAGCACAACTAATAGTTCATGCAGTAGTTTCTGGAGAGGTCCACTATATTGGCAAGCTAACATATAGGCAGCCCCAACTAAACACATTCCACCTAGTTCACACCATCACCTAAAGCCAGAACTAAGCCTATCCACACAACAAAGTGCAGAATGATACAAAGTAGTTTGTTAATAGTGAGTAGCTTATAAGTGCCAACCTTGATACTAAGCTAACAAGCTCATAATTGTGCTCAGCAGGCAACAACAAGTCCAAAAAAAAACTATAGTAGCCCATAAGAATTACATCAAATATAAAGCACATTAAAATACCTCTATCCATATGCTTACCAAAGATTTAGAGCCTTACATGGTCCTCTCAGAATTTAAGAGAGACATTCCAAAATAGAACACATATTAAGAGAAGGGGAGGTGAGGTGTGAAGTGCGGCATTAAGACCTGTGGATCAGCATGGAAAGCTGTGGATGAGATTAACAGAGGTTTTTTTTGATTGGTGGCGAATCACGTCAAAGGCACCAGAGAGTATGCGGTGTCTGGGTGAGAGATGAAGCAGTCCAACCTAAAAGAGAGGGAGAGGCAATGGAGAATCTAAAATTTAAAGTCTCTGAAAGTATAGAGCTCCAGAACTCAGAGTGGAAGTCTCATTCTCAGTGTAGTGTTTGTTACAATTTATGGGGAATATGAGCCTTTATTTATATAAGGTAAGGACATGTACATATCTGCATGTCCAAGAAATCACCAATAATTAAGGTAAGTCAACGAGATTTTAGGTCATTAGAACCTGGCAGAGAAAAGCTATTCTAGAAGCATCCAGAGGGCATCTCTGATGCAGGACAACACTCTGTTAGAACTTTAAAGCAGAATTTCAGTAAGTTGTTATTGTGGTTTCAAGCTGAAAAGTAATGGAGAATTTAGGGCTTCTACAAGTGTATGAAACAAGTAGGGTTAGGGCTTAATGTAATAAAGGAAGATAATGAAACAATTAGGGTTACAGCTTAATGTAATAAAGGAAGATTGATTTTTGGGGTTGTTCTGGGTGCTTTGAACAGCACCTGCGAACAATGTTTTGGCTGTTAAAGTGCTGAAATTTAAGAAAGAAAGAAAAGAGAAGAAGAAGAAGAAGAAGATATTTCTGGAAAGCACTCCTAGAATCTTAGGCATCACACCTAGGGTTAGGGTTGCATCACACAAACACAAAGAGGCTTCAAAACTCCAAAAAATCTATAAATGTAATATCCCAAGCAATATGTAGAACCAAACGCCCCAAGTTGAACCCAATCTAGGATACCAAAACCAACCCCAAACATGATTATGGATGTAACCAAACACTACCCATTAGCTTATAAGAGAGAGAAGAATGCAGAATTTTGTTTCATTTATCTTTCCTTCTTCTCTCTAGCTAGCTTTCTCTCATTTTTCTTGGTAGCCAAACACTCCACCTTTGCTCCACTCTTACACCACCACCTCAACCTACCATCACCACCATCACCAGCCATCTCACGTCGCCGGAAAAAGACTATGGTTGGTCACCTTCCTCTCTCTATGAAAATAGCACAAATCAAGTTCAAACTTTAGATTTTCTTAATCTTTTCAAGAACCAAAGCTTGGGATTTCTTTTCATGATGGTTTAGAGGCTTTTAATCAGTAAGAATCTTTCTAAAAAGTTTTAGTTTAATGTTTTACATATTTAGAGTTAGAGATGATGATTTCTAGATTTATCATGATTTCGTTTTATATTTGTATTTAGTTTCTATAGATGTTTTTGCATGTAGAAAAATCATTAGTTTGATGATTGATTTGGAGATTGAAATTTGGGTTAATCTAGGGTTTGAATGTGATATAAAAATTAGGAATTTTGATGCTAGGAAATTTATTGTTGACCCCAATTGAAAAGAACAAGTTTTATAATTTTCATGGGATTGGTATATTCATTGGGCTCTAGCTCATTCTTTTTTAGTTAACCTTTTTTAGATTCCTAGATTATAGCATGGCTCGGCTCAACTTGGAAGTTTAGATTTTTGGAGGATCAAAGTTGGGCGTTTTTGTAGTTGAGGTTTTGCATAGGGTCACTCTAGGATGTAGTTTCATCTTTTGTATTTTATGAAGGAAGTTGATTGTAAATATTTTTCATTATGAAGTTTGATATAAAGATAGATTCATGTTAGTGTATTTGGGAAAATGGTACATGGGAACAAACTTAGTGACATGATGATATTTTTGTACTTGAATGGATCAAATTAGTATATAATGGCTGAATGAAAGGTTTTATGCATTATTAGTGATGTAAATATATGAATTGTACGGGAGATTATTATGTACAAGTGTTATAGTACTTGAGATTTGCCCTCTCAGCGGGGTTTGCCTTGCCGGGATTGGGTTGTGACATTCTTGTTCTTTTCAATTGGGGTCAACAATATATTTCCTAGCATCAAAATCCCCAATTTTTACATCACATTCAAACCCTAGATTAATCCAAATTTCAATCTCCAAATCAATCATCAAATTAATGATTTTTCTACATGCAAAAACATCCATAGAAACTAAGTACAAGTATAAAACTCAACAATTAAAACTAAATCATGATAAATCTAGAAATCACCATCTCTAACTCTAAATATGTAAAACATTAAACTAAAACTTTTTAGAAAGATTCTTACTGATTAAAAGTCTCTAAACCATCATGAAAAGAAATCCCAAGCTTTAGCTTTTGAAAATAATAAGAAAATCTAGAGTTTGAACTTGATTTGTGCTATTTTCATAGAGAGAAAAAAGTGGCCTACCAGAGCCTTTTTCGGCAAGGCGAGATGGCCGGTTGAGGATGTGAAGGTGGGTTGAGGTTGTGGTGTAAGGGTGGAGCAAAGATGGAGTGTTTGGTCACCAAGAAAATAAAGAAAAATGAGAAAAAGCTAGAGAGAAGAAGGAAAGAGAAATGAAACAAAATTCTGCATTCTTCTTTCTTCTTAGAAGCTGACGGGTTCAAATTACTCAGTGAATTGAAGAACTGAACCAAACCGATCTCTTTGGGATGGGTTGGGTTGGTTTTTGAGCGCATTGGTTTGGTTTTAGGTTTTCAAATCATCAAACCGATATGATTGGGTTGGTATTTGGTCAATGCCAAAACTGAACCAACCCAAGAACCGAACTTATTTATGTATATATAATTTTTATTTAGATTAACATGTCTTCACCTAATTGGTCTATTACAATAGACTTAATTGCACATAATAATTTTTCACATACAAGAATTATTAGGTGAACTAAGGAAGTAGTAGAAGCTTGAATTTAATTTGCATTGGTTGTATTTTTGGATTTAATTTGTATTAGTTATGTTTAAGCTTGAGTTAGATTTAATTTGTATTAACTTGCATTAAACAATATTTTGCTTTTTATTTTTGTTATATTTAAATGTTAAAGACTTGTTTATTTTAATTATTTATTATTGATTGATTCACTTATTTTTCATATAAAGGAACCGTGGTTCCAACCCAAGCCAACCCGAGCTACATTGGGTTGGGTTGGTTCTAGTCCATGATTGATTTGGTTCTGGGTCCAAAAACTTCAAATGATTGAATTGATTCTAAATTTAGTTCCAAACCGACCCACAAACACTCCTAATGGGTAGTCTTTGGTTACATCCATAATCATGTTTAGGGTTGGTTTTGGGTATCCTAAGTTGGGTTTAATTTAGGGGGTGTTTGACTCTACATATTGCTTGGGATATTGCAATAAAATATCAATTTTATTAAATTATAAGTATTACATGATTTTATATAGACTTAGAGACTTCCTTTTTCTAACTAGAACTAAAAAAGAAACTACTAAGAATACTTTTGACTTCTAAAACTTATTTAAAACCAAATAAGACCTGTAAATAAAAGTAATTAAATAACTTGGCCCACAAGACAACTCATGGGTAACTCGCACAACTCATATCCAAAAATTCAGCTAATAACCAAAATACTCCTAACCTTAAAATTGACCAACAACTTTCTTAACCGAAAATAAACATAAATAACACTCTTCTAAGATAGAAACATAATTATAGATGGTTCCAATAGATCCCAATTGAGTTCGGCTTGAAACCAAGCAATTTCCAAACATGAATGCTTCCTTAATTTTGTTTTTCCTTGCTCCTATTGTGGACTGTATCAATCTCAAAGGTGAAATCTCTCATAGTTGGAATGGCCTAAGGCAGCTTGACCCATTTGGAATATACAATATACATATCCTGTTTTTTGGGAATATTTTGTATCCTGTATTTGTAACCATGTTTCATAGAGTGTCCCACAGAACGTATCCTGGGGTTGCCAAGAAGGCAACTTCATCATGGCCAAATTGTGGGCAGAAGAACAAATGTGTTGTTGGCCCACTTGAGCTCATTTGGTATGACCAAACATGTCCTAACTGGCTGACACGAGGAACTCATGACGACATGTACAGCACACATCACTACCTATGTGTCCATGACACATAGCTGGACATAGACACACAAGTACTTACAAAGGACGAAACAAGCAATACATTTTTTATTTGCTGATAAGAACAACAAACAATGCTACCCTGAACACCAGTATTAAGAAACCCACAACAATATGTTTCTGTTCCAAAATATCAAAATTAACAACCTAACAAATTTCTTTAGATTGCAACTGTTATATATTTTCCAAGTGAGGTAAAGTTGTTGAAGTATAGCATTAAAACCATTATAAGTGAGATTCTACAAGAAAAGGAAGAGGCTATAGCACATAATCCCAATGCAAATTAGATATGCTTCATTCAATAATGGTTAACAACTATCTAACAGATTTCCTAGTGTAATTATGAAACTTCTTAACTTTAGAAATACTACATGCTAGAATTAAGAAACCAAATTAACCAAATGGCATTATATTACATAACAAAGTAAACATCATACCGCATCCCATTAAGAACGTCACAGGATGAGGAGCAATCATTGACGCATGTGGCCAAATTTCAAATTCACTTTCTGAAATAGAAATTTCCAAGTGCTGGTGTTTCATAAAGCAAAGACATGGTGAATACCACATTCTGAACTGATCATGAACTAACAATATTCTACAGAAAACTATGAGAAACACAGAAAAAAATTGACACACAATATTTCATATGGGTCATAAGAGACTTTCACACACGATGTGGGTGTTTGGGAAGTGGCTATTTTAGAGGCTTTTGGGCTATTTTAGTAGGCTATTTTAGTTTTTGTGTTTGGGAAGATAGGATGGATTTTTATTTGAGTTGTGTATTGAAAAATGTGTTTGAAATGATGTTTGAAACTGAAATGACAATTTGTCCCTAACTTCACTTTTTCCAAAATAGGTTTAAAGGGGCAAAATTGTCATTTAATTTCGGAAATGATGGGGCTGTCCCTACACTGTCATGACAGTGTAGGCTGATGCTATATTACAGCTATATATATATTTAAAAAAAAAAAAAAAATCAATCACTTTGCTTGGTTCCCATTTTTCAAAAACAGTTTTCAGAAAATTCTACACTCTTATTTTCTGTATTTTTTTGTTTTTACTAAATTTTTTTAATATTTTATGCAAATTTTTTACTTTTTAGACACACCTAACAAAAATATACCTAAAAAGTAAAAAAATTGTAAAAAAAATCTTTTAAAAATTCACTAAATACCAAAAATACAAAAAAAATACAAGAATTTAGTACATTTTTTGTATTTTTATGTATTTCTTAATTTTTTAAAATATTTTTTCACAATTTTTTTTACTTTTTAGACACATCTAAGTAAGGTGCATCTAAAAAAGTAAAAACAATGTTTAAAATTTTAAAAATATTTACTAAAAACAAAAAAATACGAAAATCAAAAAACTCAGTTTTCAAAAAACTTAATCTAGAAAACTCAAACCAAACACAGTGAATGGGTTTGTGTGGCTTTTTGGCTTTTTTTTGTATTTGAGGCTATTTTAACCTCAACTTTTGCTTCCCAAACACCCCCAATATTTCATGTGGTTCAGAAGAGATTTACAACTTGAGATTTAGAAAGAAAAACAGCAAATGATCTTCTTACATGTGTCGTATAATATTAATGGATTATATCTTCAAGGTGTGCAATGTGGGTATCATTTGTGAATCTTGAGCCATGACTTCATAAGCCTTATCTGAAATGAGCTTTTCAGGCTAAACCTAAAGGGTTGCAGTCACTAGTCTTAGGTTTCACGTTGGAAATAGAACCAAAAAAGCAAAAAAGTCAAACCTCTATACTATATCCAGCTCTCACAAACCACTGGAAGGTAACACAAGAATAGTGAAGCATTTCAATAATGAGACATTCTTAGTAGTTCAGTACCTGCAAGGTCAGGATGCGTTTGGGTAAGCTTAAGCCAATGCATTTGGCTATAACCCTTCTCAAAAGGAACTTTGGCCCGAGGTGCAGGCTTCCTATCAGGAGTCTTCTGTTGCTGTGAACTGTTAACTGAGTTTCCAGTGTCTTCAGGTGCTGCTTGTTTTGGCAGTTCAGTCAACTTTTCTCCGGGAGACGTATCAATAACACTAAAAGACAAAGAACCAACCTTTGTCTCCCTCTTTGAAATGTCATTACTTGGCAACTTATCTTTCCACAGAATGCCACTACTCTGATTAAAACTAGCTTCGCTTGCAGACTCATCTTTTATGGGGACACCACTGACATCTGGCACAGCCTTCTGCACCTCAAGACCATCTCGGTCAGCAGGTAAACCAATCTGAATAAACACAATTCATCTTCATTGTACAAATATGTTAAAAAACATAAAGAATGCAGCCAAACACAGAACTTATCACAATACATTACAAAAATGAAAAAGGTCAGAAGATTGTAAAAACCAACCTTTGTCTCCCTCTTTGAAATGCCATTACTTGGCAACTTATCTTTCCACAGAATGCCACTACTCTGATTAAAACTAGCGTCGCTTGCAGAGTCATCTTTTATGGTGACACCACTGACATCTGGCACAGCCTTAGACACCTCAAGACCATCTTGGTCAGCAGGTAAACCAATCTGAATAAACACAATTCATCTTCATGTACAAATATGTTAAAGAAAATAAAGAATGCAACCAAACACGGAACTTATCACAATACATTACAAAAATGAAACAGGTCATAAGATTGTAAACAATCTGTAGCATGTGAATTCCAAAAACTTGCCTGACAGAATGTGAAATCATCATTGCTCGCCATATCACACTATCAGTCACTAGAACAACCTGAGAGATTTATCCTGTCCCATGGTTTGATCATTTCACCAATAAAATTAAAACGATCACGTTATGCTTTTACATGTAATGATTATACCGTAAACAACCACAATCACAAAGCATAAAACTGACAAAATTCAAGGCATTACAACAATAAGTATTTCTGGTAAAAAGTGGTAAAAATAAATAATAACAAGCAAAGAAAACCAGATCCAGTCCAAGTTATTTCAAAACATTCTCTCATTTTCTGTTCAGGTATCCCCATTCTAGCGCTGATTTTGGTACTGTCATCAGAGTTATTTATCATACAGGCAAAACTAAATTCTTGGAAAATTTACGGTATCCCCAACTATGCACACTGTACAATAAAGGAAACAGTTGGATTGGAACAAGTTGGTAAGCTACATTTTGATGAAATTTCTAACTTTTTAAGGTTTTATCAATTGCAAATTTTTTCTCATTTTCCATGTTCAGATGTCACATTTAAGGTTTGATGAAACTCTCTCTCCCTCTCTCTCTCTCTCTCTCTCTAATATGATAGAACATTGTAGGCAGCTACACAGAATTGCGTTGGACACAGGTACTCTATCAGATTCATCTAGTTCACATGTTCAAAAGCACAGGAATACATCAAAATATTCATATTTCTTTTTCTTTTATTTTTTTTTTTCAAATTTTCTAGGGCAAAATGGATTTACAAGGTGATATAAAGTATGCCATGCACAACATATGGGAGTTTTATGTGTCGTTATTAGGTAAACTCAGATTACTAACTAAACACATTTGCTAGGTGAATGTGCCACTGAATTTGTCGAACACATATATCATACCCTTATCTAACTATTGAGTGTTAGAAACAGATACTCAACACATTTAGAAGGATCTATCTAACAGAGGTAGGCCATAGGCGATATAATCCAGCATATCAAAAATTGTCCGACTTAAAAATTTTTTAAGTTGAAATTTTACCATACAATTTCCTCTTTTCTAAACACACAATAATACAGCATGGCACTATATTCCTAAGGGCAAATTTCACATTACAACCTTATAGTGTGGCTCATATGCTAATTACCCCACCATAACCCCCTTAAGTGCACCGTCATGCATTTGTCCAGGTCAACAAGTGTGAAACACGTGTTAGGATATAAGGGATTTATGTGCTCTTTTCCAAACGTCAAGGGGTAAATCACACATGGAGTAAAGCATAGGAGGTTAAAGTGAATTTTGACTAACAAAAAAATAAAGAGGGTAATGGACCTACTGGTGCACTTTACTCCACAAACCACAAGAGGATTATGTGCTTATTTCCAAATGATAGCAGTTATGTGTACATGGGCCAAACTATAAGGGTGTAAATTTTCCCTATTCCTAATTTACTCAAGGTAATAAAATTTTATTTTCACTCCCCAAATTATGACAACATATGTGAAACAAATAGAAATAGGAAAGCAAAATCTTGTTTCCATTGCCCACTTAGATTAAAAAAGAACATGAATGCTGACTTGGAGTTTTCTCTTCATCGAATACTAACAAATCTGCATAACAGGGAAAAGGGAGTTCGCAGAATAGGGTTTCGCACACAGAGAGAGAGAGAGAGAGAGAGAGTTTGATACCTTGTTGCGAGAGAGTTGAGATGGGTTTTCGCGGGATGGTGTTCTTCTTCTTCTTCTTCACCGCAGTGATTGATTGTTTGTTTGGAGAGCTCCAATCCAAGGCACATTGGAAGGAACCCTTCTTTTCTGTGACTACATGATGGCCAAAAGTCAAAATAACACTCCCCTTCGACAGTCAAAATTGGATTTAGAGATTGAATAAATTATGTTTAAAATATAGATTGTTGTTTGTAATTTAAAAAATTATTACTTCTTTTATTTTAAAATAATAATATATATATATTTTTTTCCAGAGTATATAACTTTTTTTTGATAGTATAATTATTACACTTTTGAAATATTATTTTTTCAAAATTATCCTTTGATAGTTTTTTATTTTTATTTTATTTTTATAGAATATCAATTGTCATAATTGTATTTTTTGTATTTTTAATGAATTTAAAAGAATGGTAAAATAGGAAATTTTTATTATTTTAGTTCTTGATTTTTGAAAAGAGACTAATATTTTGAGATAACAAAAAAAATGAAATAAATGATTAATATTTTGAAACGGAGAGAGTAATATTTCCCTATTAGAGTTTTTGTAAAATATTACATTGTTACGTTCAAAAAAAGTACATTATGAGTTTTTTAGTGTATTATATTAGAGTGTGTTACGTTTGGAAAAAAAACACTTACATTGTTACGTTTAAAAAAAGTACACAAAGGAGTTTTTTCAGTATATTACATTGAAGTGTTACGTTTTTTGAGTGTTACATTGGAATGTTATGTTTGAAAAAAATACACTAAGGATTTTTTTTTGAAAGAGTTACGTTTAGTAATTTTAACATTATGAGAAAACATATATTTGTCCCTTAACACATAACGTGCGTGTTTATCCTTGATCCTTTATGTAATTCACACTAGAATGGGACCTTTGGGTCTAAGAAAAAAGAGAGGATCAATAATTCATAAGATTACTATTTGGAATTTATTGGTGTTTCACCCTTGCTTAAATTATTAATTGAAACATATTTCTAACATCATTAAAAACTGTCGATTGACTTGATGATTTATTAATAAAATTGGTGATTTCTTATGAAATTAGAAACCTTAGGGGGGTGGAATGTAATTTCTAGAACCATAGGGGCAATTCGTATTTTAATCAAATCTTAGGAAGTATATTTGTAATTTATCCTTAGAGATCTATACAACTATACGCATCAATTTGTAAATTGAACTAGTGTATTAAATGATGATGTGGTATAATTTTAAAAATTTGAGTCTTTACAATTTGTATAATGAGCGGGATTCATAATTTTAAAGTAACAATTTCATAATATATGTTGGCACACTGAGACCTTTTTTGAGAGGCATAAAAAAATCAATTTATTGGCTTGTTTAAATCACAATACCTCTTTATTTATTTATTTATTTATAATAAGCCAATAAGCACCCAAAAAAAAGAAAAAAAGAAAAAAAAAAGAAGTCACTTCTCCAAATAAGCCTAATTAATATAAAAATTGATATATGTAGCACCAGTATTTATAAATTGGATTAATTACCTAAAGTCCTATCTACATTTTTGGTTGTAGCTTAGGTCCTGTCTAAAAGTGTTTGAGCTAATAAGTCCTATTTACAGGTAAAAAGAGGTTTTTTTCCTTCAACCCAAACAAGTGTATATATGACGTTATTTATTAGAAACAAAAACAAATCAGTTAGGGGAAGTAAATGAAGATTCGAATCTCGAAGGATCTTGAAGGATTTCTCGGTTTGGTTCACTATTATACATAAATTGATTTCGATGTTTGACAGATTCGTATTTGAGGCTTTTTGAGTTGAAATCTATTGGAGTTTGTTAGGTGTGATTTCGATTTATAAATTGAAGTATTGATTTGCTGGATGTTTGATTTTCGTGGGTATGTATTGTTTCGATTTCGTGTATTATGTGTTGTTAGAAATTTTTTTAGGTTTGATTGAATTTATTTATGAGAATATGTTGAATAATTTTGATTTTACGAATTGAAAACGTGATTTGCTAGATGATTTCTTGGTTTGGTTCACTATTTTATGAATTGAAAACATGATTTGTGAAAACTGAGAAAGTTCTTAGTATTGTTATGAAGTATTTGTTCTGGTTTTGTAGTTTCAGCAAACTGAGAATTGTTCATGTTTTTATTGATGTGATCTCTTCTTTTTTTTTTTTGGGATTGAAGATGAGTGAAGCTTTTACGAGTGTCCCCATTTTTTTTGTTGTGCAATTATAGTGGTTGCACATTTGCAATTAAGATTGATCAGAATGTTACATATGATCAGTTGGTTTATAAGTTGTGTTTGAAATGGGATAGTTTGCAATATGATAACATTTGCCTATCTTACTCATTGCCTGGACATCCTAGTTGTACGTTGGACAACAATGAGGAGTTGGAATTATTGTTGGCATTAGTTGTGCATTTTGATTCACAATGTATTGATGTTGTTGTGAGAGGAAAAAATTCAACCATTGACTGTGGTGTTCTCAACAAAAGATTGGATTATGGAGAAAGAGAGATAATGTTGGAGCTTGAAGTTTGTGGTATTGCATTGTCTCATGACAACAGTAAGTCTGTGAACTTGTCAAACAAAGCATCTACATCCTCCAAGAGGGATTCGAGGTTGGAGGTTGAAGAAGAGATTGATATGTTATCATCATTTTGTTGACACAAGAAAAAAGTATTGTTGTCTGCTGGTTGGGCAGATGTATTGTCGAAGTTTTCTATTGAGTGTGGATATGAGTTCGTATTTGTTAAGAATGATAAAGTCCGTGTTACCGCACAATGTTTGTTTAAAGAGACAAAATGTTGTATGTGGAATGTTCCTGGTTTGTTTATAAAGCTTAACAATGCCCACACATGTGGTGCTGAAGTATGTACAATGAATCATTCTTGTATGAGTTCTAATTTAGTTGCCGATTTGATTGTTGAAGGTGTTTGTGATAATCCATTGACACGTTTAGTTCATGTTGTTCGGGATTTTAAGTTGGGGTATAGGCTGAGAGTTAGTTATCGTCAAGCTTGGTTAGGGGTAAAGAAAACAAAGGGTGATATTTTTAGAGACTACTTAATGTCATTTGATCAATTAAGATGGTATATTGATGTTGCAAAGAGTTGCAATCCGGGGAGTTGCATTGAGTTTGAGTGTGACGATAATACTAAACGGTTTAAGAGATTATTTGTTCTTTTTCATGTTTGCATTAGGGGATTAGATTATTGTCGACCTCTCTTGTTCCTTGATGGCACATTTTTGAATGGAAGATTTAGAGGAAATTTACTTGCTACTATAGGAAAATATGGAAATCAAGGTACACAAGAAATTTGTTTTCTCTGTTCTGAAATTGAGAAAGTTCTCAGTTTAGAAATATGATTGAATGTTTTAAATTTTATATAATATTATTAATGTATATGCATTTTTTTATTTTACAGTTATTCATTTTAGTGTTTGATATTTTGAATGTTAAAGTGTTACCATTTTCTAAGAATAATAGAATATTCTTATTTTTTCTGTTTTGTACATGCAGGGTTTTTTCCAGTTTGTTTTGCAATTGTTGGCACAGAGAATCAAGACAATTGGCATTGGTTTTTGGAACATATGAGCATAGTTGTTTCACCAAGACGAAATATTACATTCGTGTCAGATCGTAACCTTGGATTAGTTAAAGTTTTGCCAATGGTTTTCCCAATGGCTTTCCATGCTTATTCTTTATATCATTTGAAGATAAACTTGAGGCATCATTTGCGTGGTATGTTTCATGGATTGAAAAAAAAGTTGATCACTTTGTTTGGGAAATGTACATATGCTCCAACTGAAGAAACATTTCATCAATATTTGGGTGAGTTAAAGACTGAAGGTGGGTCAAGAGTAGAAAAGTTTTTAGATGATATACCATATGATCATTGGAGTAATACATATTTTCAAGGGCAACACTTCGGAGAGATGTGATTGAATGTAGCTGAATCTTTCAATTCGTGGATATAGAAGGAACGCCATTTTCCTATCACAAAGTTGATTGATAGTGTAAGAATTAAGTTGATGAGGGGAATTGCTAAGAGGAGAAAGCTTGTTAATAAATGGAATGGTGTGATATGTCCCAAAATGGAGTCCAAGTTGCATGATGCTTTAATACTTCGAGGCCATGGATTGTTAGTTCATCTAGGAATGATGTATATGAGATGCATTCACGTCCATCTGTTTCAGTTGACATTAGTAGACGAATATGTTCTTGTGGCGAGTGGTAGTTGAAAGGGTTTCCATATGCACATACAGTTGGTGCTACACAAAAGAGTGGACATGATTTGAGTTTATTTGTTGTTCAATACTTTTATGTTCAAAGTTATCGAGAGTCCTATTCTTTTCCCATATATCCTGTTCCTTCAATTTGGAAACCAGATTGTAATGTTGATGGTGATAGTGATGTTTTTCTTCCTCCTTTGTCTCCTTTGTCTAGGAAGCAACCAGGAAGGCCAAATAAGAAGAGAATTCGTTCCAATGATAAAAAAGTAAGGCAAATTACTTGTAGTAGATGTGGAAAGGTTGGCAATCACAATAAGAAATTGTGTAAGGAGGCTTTGTGATTTTTTGCAGCTACTTTGTGATTGTAAAAATTTCATATTCATAAATTTCTTGAAGTAACAGTTTGTACTATTGAGAGCTGAGTAATAATTTTCTATGTTTTGAATAAAGTGACATAGAATTGAAAGTGAAAATATTCTTAGTTTTGAATTTTAGTTTTGAAATTGTTTGTGATAATATTGTTTGGTTGTCTTTGTGTTTGTTTTTAATGTGAATTATTTGTTTGGCTGGCTTTGTAAATAAACTTGATTGTTGAATGTTTGTTTTGAAGATTATGTGAATATTGACTAAAAACTGAGCATATTCTCAGTTTAAGTTTTTAGTTCAAAATAGCTGATTTTTTGATAATAATGTGAGGCTCTTGTTATGAATCGGAACAAGTTATAAATGTGATCAATTGAATGCATGTGAATTAATATTTTAAATAGATGTGATCAATGCTATGTTTTGAATAAAGTAACAGTGGATTGAAAGTGAAAATATTCTCTATTTTGAATTTTAGTTTTTCAAATTGTGATAATATTGTGAGGCAGCAAATAAATTATTGTGATAATATTTGTTGTTTTGAAAATT